ATTTGGGTCATTCCCCATGATGTGACCTGTGCCTTCGTGCTGCTGTTTGGGACTTGAAAATGAACTCTGCGTTCCAAGTGGATGTGAAGCCATGTCGGCATGTGTCAAGAGTCGGTGTCACACGCATTCACCACCGTGAATAATTTACAACGTGCACGAGTAGATGTATCTACACCTAACATTGTCACTCTCAAAAAAATATGGCTTCAACTTATCAGATAAATGTGTGTGAAGTCTGTTTACATGATTGGGTATACAGATAATCATGGTTTAGATCAAGCTATGGTTTAGAGTTGTTGTTTTAATGGGGGATTGTTTTCACTATGTACTGCTATTCTTCCATCCCATCAATATCGTTAAGTTTAATTGGAAATTTTGCTAAATGTGTGCTGAAGATAATAAAAAATAAACAATGTTTAAAATGATTGAGAATCTGTTCTCATTATAATGTCGCTTGAACCTTGGCAGTCATTTGTGCCGAGGGCTCTTAAATTCTGGCAATTATCTGACAATGGCAGTGGGAGATTTAAAACATCGTGAATTTAACAACGTAATGAATTACACTTATTAACAATGCCGATCATGGTTAATTTAACAACAATGTCTCTTCCACCCTGGCGAAAAATATTTTTTGGGAGATTCTATTTTCTTTTAGTCGTAAACCCGCCAGAGCAATGGGCATATGGATCGTGAATACGAGATTGACTCTCACGAACACAAATTTCACAGGCAGTCAAACAAAACAAAAACGAATGAGGACAATGCATTGCTGAGATTAATTTGACCTCTAACCTTTTACTGGTGTGTTTGCGCATCCCACATTTTATGATTCATAACCAGTGACAATGTATAAATAAACCCATGGGGAGGAGTGGCTACGTGGCGTGGAGCCATCCAATTTTTTAATGTCACATTAAGCTTCCTGTAAATCAAATTAACCCTTGAAGACCCGCAGCTGTCTCGAAATGTGAGGCTGTGTCTTCCACGGCCGTTTTGCACAAAGTGATTAGAATTTCGTATATATTTAACAAACAAAAAAACCCTCACGAGCTGTTTGCATGGTCCAGTGTTGCCCCATCCTAATGTGGAGTTGTTGTCCCCTGCAAGGTCACTTGTGTTGTTATCACGGCAAGTACGGAGCGCTTTGTTGACGCGCCAACTGGAACATTCGTTCTCCCGGGTAGTGTTTCGTGCGGAAAGTGTGGAAGGAAAACGCGTGCAGAGTGTCACGAGCGCGTTGGGACCGGCATGCTGGTACGTGTTCAAATGTAGATGGTGAAAATAGTTGAGTTCCTGGCAGATTAAGTTGGTGCAATTTTGATTTTGTCTTACAAAAGGAATTGTGTTACCCAACTTGAACGATTTCGGTGTGATACATTTACTGTCTGGGAAGGTGGATTTCCCATTTAGCATAAATCAAAAAATCATTCAACACCATTACATCTTTTCGGGGGGTTAATAAAACAAGTAATTATCCCAATAAGACTCATTCGCCATGCGTCGATAATTAATGAGTAAGCATAGATGCTGCAATGTGATAGAATTGGTACTGTTACATGCAGCCTGAATGTGATTGCGGCTCACGGAACTGTGCATCCACAGTGGGTTTGTTGATTCTATGGAGAAATCGGCAGTCGGTCATAGGCAGAGGGAGAAAGGAATCTATGGCCTCGGACTTGAACAGGGGCAGGAGATTGACACCACAGAGTGCTGGGGAAAGGGAGGTACAGACTACGCAGAATGAGCGACGTCCCACTGAGTGAAGATTAACAGGGGGATTCGATATAAAGGTTTGGTTTCTGAAGTGGAGAGTGTGCAGAGGGGAGTAGAGTGCGATGCAAGTGGAGAGATAGGTGAGGGCGTGGAGGGGAGTAGAGTGAGATGAGAGGAGAGAGGCAGGAGAGTGTGTGGAGGGGAGTAGAGTGAGATGAGAGCGGATAGATAGGTGAGTGTGTGGAAGGGCAGAGAGGTAGGAGAGTGCGTGGAGGGGAGTAGAGTGAGATGAGAGGGGAGAGGTAGGAGAGTGCGTGGAGGGGAGTAGAGTGAGATGAGAGGGGAGAGATATGAGAGTGTGTGGAGGGGAGTCGAGTGAGATGAGAGGGGAGAGGTAGGTGAGTGCGTGGAGGGGAGTAGAGTGAGATGAGAGGGGAGAGGTAGGAGAGTGCGTGGAGGTGAGCAGAGTGAGATGAGAGGGGAGAGATATGAGAGTGTGTGGAAGGGCAGAGAGGTAGGAGAGTGCGTGGAGGGGAGTAAAGTGAGATGAGAGGGGAGAGGTAGGAGAGTGTGTGGAGGGGAGTCGAGTGAGATGAGAGGGGAGAGGTAGGTGAGTGCGTGGAGGGGAGTAGAGTGAGATGAGAGGGGAGAGGTAGGAGAGTGCGTGGAGGGGAGTAGAGTGAGATGAGAGGGGAGAGATATGAGAGTGTGTGGAGGGGAGTCGAGTGAGATGAGAGGGGAGAGGTAGGTGAGTGCGTGGAGGGGAGTAGAGTGAGATGAGAGGGGAGAGGCAGGAGAGTGTGTGGAGGAGAGTAGAGTGAGGTGAGAGGGGAGAGGTAGGAGAGTGCGTGGAGGGGAGTAGAGTGAGATGAGCGGGGAGAGGTAGGTGAGTGCGTGGAGGGGAGTAGAGTGAGATAAGCGGGGAGAGGTAGGAGAGTGTTTGGAGGGGAGTAGAGTGAGATGAGAGGGGAGAGGCAGGAGAGAGCGTGGAGGGGAGTAGAGTGCGATGAGAGGGGAGAGGCAGGAGAGAGCTGAGAGGGGAGTAGAGAGCGATGAGCGGGGAGAGATGAGAGGGGAAACGTACGCAGTGGTGTGTCCGTGGAGGATCTTGAAGGCGAGTGTTGATCCTGAAATGAATTCCAGTTCATGCGTATGGCAGCAATATGTTCAGGAGCTAAATGCCAATGTCATGGTCTGCTAGTCACGAGAGGGCTGCATGAGAGAGTGTGCGTGGTGCTGCTGTTCCTCTTACCTCTTGAATGAGTGCAGACGACAATGATTTATGGAAAATAAGAACAGGTTTTACCCTTTCTGGCAATAAAACAGTAGGTGTTAAGATGTTGAAACACCAAATAGAAACCTTTTGCAAGGAATTATGTCTGCAATAACCACACGTACTTGTGGTGAACATGCAAACAAATATGCCATGACAATATAGTATATGCATTGTCTGTGAAACTGATTGGCCTACACCAGACAGCCGTCTTTGTTTCACAGACAATGCCATATATTATAATCAGAGCATGTTTGTTTGCATGTTCGCCACAAGTACGTGTGGTTATTGCAGACATAATTCCTTGCAAAAATGTGTCTATTTGGTGTTTGACCATCCTAACACAACTGTTTTATTGCCATAAATGGTAAAACCTTTTCTTATATTTCATCCTGGCAAAAAGGTCCCATAATATACAATGGTTAACGATATGGACCATTGGATGAATGGATTAGGAGCCAACGAAGGGATTGGAATTCTTGTGGTGAGGTAGGATCATTTATGCGTTTTCCGAGCAAGACGTACCACAGTTTGTAACGCTGTCAAATTTGCATGAAATAATGAAATAATCTATTAACATTGGAATAATGCAATGTCAGTTTAAAGACGTGTATTAATTGGCAGATGAGAATAGATGCCCTGAAAGTGTTGAGGCGTCAGTGGCGAAGGAAGAGGTCGAAAAGTGGAAGAAGAAAAAAAAACATCTGAAACATAAAGTGACCTTAGAGAAGATTGAGATTCTGGTGTTGTCACAATGACAGGTCCTCACTGGTGACGACAGTAGCCCCAGATTGTGATGCGCATTGCCCGGACGTCGAGACCCAAAACCAGATGCGGCAATTAAATCTCCGCCAAGACGTGAAAAAAAACTGGATAATTTAGCAAACCTCCAGTGGCCAAAAACTATTTTAGCGCCCGTACACCAGCAGCAGGCAATTGCGCATAACAATAGAGACAGGTGGGTGATTTAATGAGACAAGACCACCGGTAACTAATGGTGTGGGACGCGACATTAGCATCGCATTCAAATTACGCGAATGCATCACGCAAAGCGGTGTGCGCGTGTGCTTTTAGGAGAACCTTAAAAACAACCTTAAAAGTGTTAACTTCACCAAACAAACAAATGGCAAATTGAAAACACGATCACTCTTAACCCAGGCCAGCCAACTTTTATACTTGAATTCTTATTGCCTCAGGGCCCCCTCGGGATAGTGTTTGTGAAACATTGTGTTGGGTGGGGTTATGGTGGGGGGGGGGGAGGTTGCGTGGGCACGTGTTGGCACGTGTGGGAGCGAGCCGGGTGGTTGTGTACACGCCAGGGGCATGGCTCGGTCAAGAGGCCGTATCCAATTGCTTGATATGGCCGTGAGATTTGTTCATCAAAATTACCCGGTGAGCTGAAACAACAATTGGCGATTTGATTGCTTCATGCAGGTGACAATTAATTTGTTTGGCTGCGCTGGGTCGTGGAGGGGCAGAATGACACAACATTTCATCCAGATTTTCGTGGCCTTACCCAAAGATCCATGATGAATCATCATATCGGCCACAAAACCTACATGTTAAATCTAAACATCACACATCCGACAATTCCATGGCTAACGACAGTTCACTCCTCGCTCGCCGTCTCAACGGCGCTCAACGTTCTCACTCTCACACAATAGGCCTCACCGGCTTGGCCTTCTGCTTAAGCAAATCTGTGGCCAAATATTGGTCTTGCTCCATAATTATAATCGAATCTTCTCTTCATGTCTGCTCTCTTATCAAGGGGTGGTCTCTACGCAATATTTGCCGCAAGAGAACTTGCAAAGTATTCTAGCGGCTACCGCCAGTTCCCCCAGAGAATATTTGGCGGGGTGGAGGTCACTTTCCCCGATCATCATCATGCCCCAAGTCGTGGCAATTCATCACAATTCTAGGTTAGGGCGTGGGGGTATGGGGGTGAATTGGAGGCCTGGGAGTGCATCATTACTTAGCTACTGGTTACCAATATTTGAACAAAAATACAATTGCATCAAGTTTTGTACTTTATTTGGTCAACTTCAGCTGTGATGGGCGACCAAGGGGAAGAGCTGCGGGGCAGATGATGGGAGACTGCCAGGGCCGAGCTTGGAGGCTGCGTGTCGACTGCGCGGCAGCTGCGGAATCTGGCGGAGGGCAGAACGCGTTGGCGATGATGAGGTGGTGGTCGTGGCATCAACGACTTTTGCGACGACGACTTCTTTATCTTCATGAAATGAAATACTGCAAAGACAGGATGAGTAATGTTGTATCGTGTGGCAGTGAGGAGGGCCGATTGAATATACTCGAGGAGCAGATGTGCCACCCTACTGGATGGTTTTCTGTTGCCTGAGTGGGTTCTGAAATAAAGTGTATCTGTAGGGATGCCACAATATGGCGATACGAGGATAAATAGTATGCTGTAGGATAAATGGTATGCTGTAGGATCAATGATATGCTGTAGGATAAATGGTAAGCTGTAAGATCAGTGGTATGCTGTAAGATCAGTGGTATGCTATAGGATAAATGGTATGCTGTAGGATCAATGGTATACTGTAGGATAAATGGTATGCTGTAGGATCAATGGTATGCTGTAGGATAAATGGTATGCTGTAGGATCAATGGTATACTGTAGGATAAATGGTATGCTGTAGGATCAATGGTATACTGTAGGATAAATGGTATGCTGTAGGATCAATGGTATGCTGTAGGATCCACGATAATCCGCATTGTCCGTGTTGGTAAATATCGCGATGTCATAATTATCGCTTGCTATTTATTTTTTACATCTGTTACAAAATACTTCTGAAATAACTCAATATTAAAGGTGTAAACTTGTACTTTTTACGGCGTATTTGACGGCACGGTGATTGTACAAGGTCATCGTTTGTTGCTAGTTGATATGTTTACGTTCAGTGTAACTCATTGCCATGTGTATGTTTATAAGCAACGTGCAATATTGCAATGGTTATAATGGCTCGTGGCCGACTTACGTTGAGGGAACTACAGTCGTATAACTTTTCAATATCTATTGCTACGGAATGGAACATAATTACCAAGTGATGGTAAACCGATATCACGATAATAATTTCATGGATAAAAATTTACGTAGGTATCGGATCATGATAAAATAATAATGAATCATATATCTTGGCTTCCTTATTTATTTCCCTCATGATATGGCTTCAACAGTATCTATATATATAAAATCGTTCATGTCTGTCTGTCTGTGTGTGTGTGTGTGGACTTTGGCCCATACGCACTTTCATTGGACGGCGGTTGCCCCTGGCAACGGCTAACCACGCCTTCGCCGCTTTCATTGGACCTGGCAACGGCTAGCCACGCCTTCGCCAAGGGCTGCAGTTTCATTGGACGGCGGTTGCCCCTGCCAACGGCTAGCCACGCCTTCGCCACTTTCATAAGCTCCGTATTTAATTAAATAATAGCCATTACACAGTATTGTTGGAGCGCTGAGGGGGGGGGAAGGAACGCCACCCGTACCCTGCCTCTTCCAAGCCGACAATTTTAGGCGAGGCCGCAGGCTTTGCACGCTACTAGGCCTCGACACCCACCACGCCACTCTGAGGTAAATTCATCAAAGTTTTTCCTACTCTTCACTACACCCCCACCACAATGTGTGCTATTAATATTACTTTTAAACCCAACGCGCCAACAATCGATTACTTTAATGTTCACTGTACAAATACTCATTAAGCTGGGTGAGCGTACTGCCAGTCTATCATGTACACTGTAGCCTGCTTATTAAGCTCGGTGAGCGTACTGCCACTCTATCATGTACACTCTAGCCTGCTTATGAAGCTGAGTGCGTGTACTGGCAGTCTATAATGTGGACTCTTGCCTGGTTATTATAATCGATTCTTTATATGTTCTTTGGACAAACAGTCATTAAGCTGCTTGAGCGACCCCAGTTCGATTCCAACTCACGCCCACCACCGCTGACGATTATTTGAAACGGACCTGGCCCTCCCCTAGGTCCACTCAGCCTCAAAAGCGTAACTGCTGTCGTGTGTGAACATCGTCACTGGGGAGACAAAGGCGGCGGGGCATCGTGGATCCAAGTCCCGGGCGAAGCCGGGTCATGTGTATGTGTGTTTGTGTTTATGTGTATGTCTGTGTGTCTCTATGTATGTGTGTATGTATGTGTATGTATGTGTTTGTGTGTATGTGTGTGTGTATGTATGTGGGTTTTTTTTTCTGTCTTTATGTGTATGTCTGCGTGTCTCTATGTATGTGTGTATGTACGTGTGTGCATGTGTTTGTGTGTATGTATGTGTGTGTCTATGTATGTGTGTGTCTATGTATGTGTGTGTATGTGTGTGTATGTATGTGTGTTATGTGTCTGTCTGTGTCTGCATGTATGTGTGTGTGTATTGTGTATGTGTTTGTGTGCATGTATGTGTGTGTTTGTGTGTATGTGTATGTCTGTGTGTATGTGTTTGTGTGTATGTGTGTGTATGTATGTGTGTGTATGTATTTGTATGTGTTTGTGTGTTTACGCTCGCATTACACAAATGTGTTGCTGGTCTAAGGCGTTCCTCGCACAGCATTGCCGCTTTATTATTTCAGTCGTTTACTGCCTTACGCACCCTGAAAGTCGTGTGTGTCTGCAGCAAGCGCGTGTATGTGTACCTATGGACGCGCGCGCGTGTGTTGTGTAGGGGGAACGGTAGTGTAGTGCTTAGCGTGCTGTCTGTGTCTGTGTGTGTGTGTGTCTGTCTGTGTCTGTCTGTGTGTGTCTGCGTGTGTCTGTGTGTGTGTCTCTGTGTGTGCGTGTGTGGTGTGTGGGGAGCGGTAGTGTAGTGCTTAGCGTGCTGTCTGTGTGTGTGTGTGTCTGTCTGTGTCTGTCTGTGTGTGTCTGCGTGTGTCTGTGTGTGTGTCTGTGCGTGTGTGGTGTGTGAGGAGCGGTGGGTGTAGTGCTTAACGCTACGCTGCGCTACCAACCCGGCGAACCCAGTTCCATTCCCGCTCACGGCCACCACCGGTGACGATTATTTGAACCTCCCCTAGGTCCACTCAGCCTCAAACGAGTAACTGGTGTGGCGTATTAACATCGGCACTTGGGAGACAAAGGCGGCTGGGCGTGGTAGATCCAAGTCCCGGGCGAAGCCGGGTCATGTGTATGTGTTTATGTGTATGTCTGTGTGTTTGTATGTGTGTGTATGTGTTTGTGTGTATGTCTGTGTGTGTATGTATGTCGGTTTTGCCGCCGTGGTGGATCCAAGTCCCGGGCGAAGCCGGGTCATGTGTATGTGTTTATGTGTATGTCTGTGTGTCTGTATGCATGTGTGTATGTATGTGTGTGTATGTGTTTGTGTGTATGTCTGTGTGTGTATGTATGTCGGTTTTGCCGCCGTGGTGGATCCAAGTCCCGGGCGAAGCCGGGTCATGTGTATGTGTGTATGTGTTTATGTGTATGTCTGTGTGTCTGTATGCATGTGTGTATGTATGTGTGTGCATGTGTTTGTGTGTATGTATGTGTGTGTGTATGTATGTGGGTTTTTTTGTATGTGTTTATGTGTATGTCTGCGTGCCTGTATGTATGTGTGTATGTACGTCTGTGGATGTGTTCGTGTGTATGTATGTGTGTGTCTATGTATGTGTGTGTATGTGTTTCTGTGTTTGTATGTGTGTGTATGTATGTGTGTTATGTGTCTGTCTGTGTGTCTGCATGTATGTGTGTGTGTATTGTGTATGTGTTTGTGTGTGTTTGTGTGTTTACGCTCGCATTACACAAATGTATAATGCGGGTCTAAGGCGTTCCTTACACAGCATTGCCGCTTTATTATTTCAATCGTTTACTGCCGTATGCACCCTGAAAGTCGTGTGTGTCTGCAGCAAGCGTGTGTATGTGTACCTATGGACGCGCGCGCGTGTTGTGTAGGGGGAACGGTAGTGTAGTGCTTAGCGTGCTGCCTGTGTGTGTGTGTCTGTGTGTGTGTGTCTGTGTGTGTGTCTGTGTGTGTGTCTGTGTGTGTGCGTGTGTGGTGTGTGGGGAGCGGTAGTGTAGTGGTTAGCGTGCTGTCTGTGTGTGTGTTTCTGTCTGTGTGTGTCTGCGTGTGTCTGTGTGTGTGTCTGTGTGTGTGTCTGTGCGTGTGTGGTGTGTGAGGAGCGGTGGGTGTAGTGCTTAACGCTACGCTGCGCTACCAACCCGGCAAACCCAGTTCGATTCCCGCTCACGGCCACCACCGGTGACGATTATTTGAACCTCCCCTAGGTCGACTCTGCCTCAAACGAGTAACTTAACTACTGTAGCGTATTAACATCGCCACTGGGGAGACAAAGGCGGCCGGCCGTGGTAGATACAAGTCCCGGGCGAAGCCGGGTAGTACAGCTAGTAATTGGGATATAATTGCTGATTAAATATATAACAATGCAATGTCTGAAGACTTTTTTTTAATCGCTCACAAAAATACCAATATCTATCACACCAAAGCACCCTCTGCATTCTTTATATCCCATTATTAATAATTCAAAGTTGTAATTTGCATAATTAATTTGATTCGGGGAATTCATTAATTTAAATCTGTTTTAGTTTCATTAAATGAGCAAAGAACATGCCATATTTACCCTGGATGCAATTTGTAAGCGCTACCTGATGTTATATTATAATTCATTGCCATTTAAATTCGGAAATTCGGTTTCACTTTGGGGATTAACGTGTGAGGAAGGAGCAGGTTCTGCATTTATTAATACATTTGAGTTCATTATTATGGGTCGCTCTGGTCTTTTAAAGTAAATTTTCAAGTAATCGTCGTGTTAAATCCCTAACTTAAATTTGGCTATGGCACCCGCATATTATGATATACTTTTATTTTTTATATAAAAGAATTAAAATTATTTAAAATTGTACCGTGCTGCCCATACACCATTGGCTCGCTCTTGAAGATAGAGAGAGAGGGCGACTCTGGGGCGCTAGGAGGAGGAACAGCGCCTCTGATTGACACGGTTGGCTACGTACGGTGCGAAAGAAGTTCAACAAACACACACGCACCCACCCTCCCCCCTCTCTCTCCCTCCACTCATCTCCCCCTCCCCTCTCCCCCCTCCTCTAATTGGTCTAGCAGCAGGGTCTCCAAACAATGATGATTATGCGAGTTAAAACTCCAGCTTGAGCCGGATCATCGTC